CCCCCTCCCTCACCCCCAAAAAACCCAACAACAACCAAAATAAACCCACACAAAAAAATAAAAACAAACAAACAAAACAAGAAGGGTATTTTTTCGAAATAGGGGAAATGTTACGATTCTTTGTATGCCTTAGGAAACATAATTTATTGACTTTTATTTAGAAACAACAAATATGTGAATTTAGTCTAAGCAAAACCATGGTATAATTTAAATGTCTGCACATTGATTATATAAACAAAATGGAGTTATTTTATAGATGTGTACAAAAGGTAAAGTGATCTCAATCCACTTCACTTTACCTCATTTAAATTCATATTCATTTTCATATTCATAAAAAGAAATTGTAGTGAACATAATAATACGATGAATTTAATTAGATTCTAGCAGTCATGAAAATGATGATCTGACCAGAAAGCTATCAAATAATGTCACACTAAAAAGTATCGAAATATGACGTGACTAAAGACGTATCGAATATTGATAGGTTAAGGGAAGTATCGAATGTCGACTGAAAATTCTGAGCAGGTGGTGAAGTAACTAGAACTTTGTAAGACTACATTGTTCAGAAATTCTTCGCATATAATGACTAAAGCAGAATTGAATAATCACAGAGCTAAGGAAACTCGAATAGTAACGGGGCTAGGGAGATATCGAATACTGATTAGAGAAGGGAGGGATATCATATATTTGCAGTGCCACAGAAATATCCAATAATGATTCTAACGAGGTATTGAGTAATGACAAAAAGACATATCGAATAATGGTAATAATAATAGATAGCATTTGTATAGCGCAAATCAACAGCAAGCTCTTTGCGCTTCACAATCTATACTATTACCCCAGCAGACCCGAGAGAGTAATCTGAAACAGCCTCAATTTCCTGGGAAGCATACAGTGCAAGCAGACATTTATTGGCGCTAGAACACTAACATACTGACAGGATCTTTCGCTGTCTATGGTCGGGTACCCATTCACACCTGGGTGAAGTGAGGAAAATTCGTGTTAAGTGCTTTTCCCAAGGACACAACGTCGGGCCAGCAGCTCGAACTCCCGAACCTGCATGCAACTCCAGGATCACGAGTCCGGTACCCTAACCATTAGGCCACGGACGCCAACAAATCATTTACAAACCTGTTCAAGATACTTTTACGTAAAGTACATTTCAGAATGTTGTATGTACGTGTAAAAAAAAACCCGAGCAAAGGAATGAAGGGAGAACCATAATCGCCGAGGTCTGTCGCAGATCTGGCACTGGGCGATGACTCTCTATTTTTCCGCACTTGTTTGACCCAATTGTGTTGCAACTCTAAACAAAAACAAAAACACATTGTACCG